ATCAGTACGCTGATGACACCCAAATCTATTTCTCTGTGTCTTGTTCGTTGGCCTTGAACTCCAATGGTATCTCTTCTCTCAATGAATGTCTTCAAGCGGTAATGGGCTGGATGAGGAAAAACAGATTGAAACTGAATTCAGATAAGATGGAGGTGCTCACAGTAGTGGCCCCGAAACCAAGAATTGGGTTGCAACCTCCAGTCCTGGATGGGGTCACACTCTCCTCCAGTGACTGTGTTCGCAGTCTGGGGTGCTCCTTGACTTGTCGCTCCTGATGACAAATCAGGTTAATGCAACGGTCAGGAGCGCCTGTTATCAGCTTCGGCTGATACACCAGCTGCGCCCTTTTCTGGAAGTAAGGGATCTCAAGACTGTTGTGCACGTGCTGGTAGCCTCATGCCTTGACTTCTGCAATGCACTCTACATGGGGCTACCCTTGTGCTTAGTTCAGAAATCACAGCTGGTGCAAAATATGGCAGCCAGACTTATTTCAGGAACATCTCGGAGGGACCACATTACTCCGGTTTTGAGGTCCCCCCACTGGCTGCCCATCAGCTTCCGAGCCCAGTACAAGGCATTGGTTATCACCTTTAAAGCCCTAAATGGCTTGGGCCCAAGCTATATCAGGGACCGCCTCCTCCCATGTAATCCTCCCCACACTCTCCGGTCCTCTGGGAGGAATCTGCTACAGCCCCAAAAATCGAGGCTTGTGGCTACCTCCCAGAGGGCTTTCTCAATAGTCGCCCCCAGACTCTGGAATGACCTGCCAGATGAGATCTGTCTATTAACATCATTAACCAGCTTTTAAAAGGCGGTCAAGACAGATCTCTTCCGGCAGGCCTTTCCAGATTAATGTCCCGGCCTCGGGTAATTTCCCCAATGATGCTCACGTGACCCCATCTAATGATGGATGAGCTCCATTGTGCAGGCCATAGATGTTCTGTAGCTGTTAGCAGTTGGTTTTTTGGTTTTAACTACTGGAATTGGTTTTAGCTACTATTGTAATTTTAATTCATTTAGATTTAATACTGTTTTAAGGGGGGAGGGAATAATTTTCGGATTTTATGTATTGTATAATATTTTACTGTTGTAAGCAGCTCAGATTGGGTTTCCCAAAGGGCGGGATAGAAATAATTTTTATTATTATTATTATTAT